ATAGGCTTTGAAGGGGTGTCAGAACGGCCCTCTTTCTCCGGTTGGACGTTCTGATGTGGAGGCTGCAACTCTGCGAGGTTGGCCAAGGAGCTTGCCATGTTGGCAGCCACATCCCCAGTAGTCATATCCTCACTGAGGCCGAGGAAGGCGATGATAGATGGGAGTGTATATTCTGCGCGGAAGTTGTGTAACTTCACTTTGACCGTGGGGTCCATCTCGTCAGCAATATAGCGCGCCATCAGGACTGGAAGTGGACTCTGGCTTGGGCTGGATTTGTGACCGATTGCCGATGCTTCTCCCACAAGCTCTTCGTCCCTATTCCTAGCAACCGATATGGAGCCCAGCTGCGCAGCAATGAGTGAAGGCAGACTTATAAAGGCTAGCTCGGTATTCCGAAGAACGGCGCTCATTTCCCCCACCTTCCCACCTATATGCACCTGAACCTCAAGTTCACGCATCAGTGCAAGGGTCAGCACACCAGGCCTGTCATCCTCCGGTAGGTACTTTGTGACATTCGACAGTCGGCTCAATTCATCTGCCAGCTGGGAGATGGAGTCGAGATCAGTAGTGCGAGAAACAGCAACCCGTGCTCCAGAGACCGTAACGCAGAGTACAGAACCCTGCCTCCGCTGGCGGAAGAGCGTATCTAACATGATATCATCATCTTCGTCGTACTTGTCCTTGGACGGAGTGATTAAGCCAAGTAGCCGGTCCAAGTCTTCTTCCTTCGGAGAAAATCGGTACTCAACCCTGATATCGGTCAGACTTATCTTGGCTGGAGCGTCCCGAGAATCGTCCAGAGGCAAGGGGCCGGTAACTTTGGCCTTGTCTATCTGCACTGCTACGCCACTAGGCCTGCTAACGATCTTGGCAGCGGTTGTCCTCAGCCTGACATAGTGGGTCTCTCCGACCACATCTGCTGCAAGCCCTCCGATCCTGATATTTACCTTCAAGGGCGCCGAGCCTGTTCGTTCACTCGCTGCCGGCGGAGGAAATTCTTCGAAGTGCACACCACGAGGACGCTTCGGGACTTCCTTCTTCGGCCCCTTCGGAGATGAAGCCGATGAGATCGAGTTGCCAAGTTCCAATATCGTGCTCAGCCCCCCAAACCAGCCTATGGCCTCTTCCAGTCGCTGGATATTCAAGTTTAGCTGTAAAGGAAGTGTCATGAGGTTTACAGTGGTGGAATCAGGTGATTTTGTGATAGACAGATCGATATCCCCTTGCTCGGCTGACAGGACGTCTCTAACGGAATCGCGCATCTTGAAATTCTCGCTGAACGATATTAAGTGTTCAGAGGCGAACCCGAGACTAAACCCTTTGATATTCAGATGGAGCTTCGTAATGTCTTTGTCGATTGAAAGCTGAGCTTCAAGGCCCGACAGACATGTCTGCAACAAAATATCGTTATGCAGCAGACCGAAGAATGGCGAGCTGTCTGTTTCGGCAGGGTATGAATATCCGGGAACATGCTCGACAAATTTGATGGCAAGGTTGCGAAGAGCCAACTTGATAGCCTGTCGCTTCTGCTCTTGTGGCTGACTCATGTCCTGGCTGACCTCGCTGTCATTGCTGAAAGCATTAAGAATCTTGTGTCCAACCTTGAGCACGAGCCAGCCGATGGCGATGTCGAATTGGAGTTCCGCGGAGAATATCTCAACCTCCAAGTCGTTCGGGCCCCGCTTAGACTGTGTCTGCCCATCATGCTGCGAAGGCCGAGAAGCTTTTTCGGCGCCCTCGTGCCCGTATGAGGCCGGTCTGATCGTATCACTGCGAGTTCGTGTAGAAGCCTTCCTGCCAGGAGGCACAAAGTAGTCTTCAGTTGCTGATTCACGCAAGCATGCCGTCGTCTCCTCCAGACCGCTAGTTTCTTCTTCAGTGTAGGACGCAGATGGGGTGTCATCTGTGCTGTCGCCATCTTCATCCACGGAAGGTATGGAAATGACGACCCTGTCGATGCTAAAGAACCGTCTTGCGACGTCAGAGAATTTGTTCAGGCCTGATGAATCCTGAGAACGTTCTTTGTCGGTGGGCTCATGTTGTGCCTCGGGAGAATCATCTATTAGGCACTCCTGCGAGATATGCAATCCTGCCTGCGGAGTTAGTTTAGGGGTGGCAGCAGTCTCATCATCATGATCCTGGTCCATATGATGTACATCGGGACCGTTTCCATGGTGCACATGAGCATGTGAGTCCCTGACTACCGTGGATTCCGGGGAATCCCAGGCACCGGGAATATTTGGCATGAAGCTTCTTGACATAGAATTTTGACTTATGGCACTCATGTACATACTCTGTGCCTCCTCGTTAGAAAAGAGCCTTGACTCGGAAAGCTCGTCCTGGTTGAAAGATCCGGATGTTGAGCTTGAACTACTCGCTTCGGAAGGAGGTACAGAGGTAACAGGCGATGGTTGGTTAGCAGCATACGGCTGGGGATCTTGCGTAACCTCTAGTCCCATCGCGGGCAAGGCTGGTCGAGTAGGAACGTCAACCGCTTCAGGATGTTGTAGGTGATGCCGTGCGAGGCTAGTGACAGCTGGTACCTGTGACCTGGGCGCAAGGATCATAGCATTCTGTGTATCACTGTAGTGTGATGCTGATCCGGCGGCGTGCAACTCTGGAGTCCGGAGGCGCGGGGTATCTTCATTGCCCAAGATATGGTGGGCGACTTCCGGTGAAAAATGATCTGTGCCATCAAGCTCATCATCATGAAGATGCGAATCAATCACAGAATCAAGATACGCAGGATTGTCCAGTATCTCATCGTCAACCGGTAGGTTCTGCGACTCTCCCATGTAACCATAGCTCCTGGTTTCCTCCTCCGTGTCGGCGTCAGAAAATCTGCCGTCGTAGGTGCACACAGATCCTTCCATATCGGGCGCATGTTCGGGCGCATATTGTTCTATTATCTTTGATTCTGATAGTCCACGAGATGGCTCGAAGAGTATCGACCTTGTCAAGTCCAGTGCGGTGTCCTCTTCAGACGCGGGCTCAGACGGCGGGGACGAAACATGGCTCGGGGGAGGGCTCGGCTTTGGCTGCAAAGGACTCTCCGGAGAAGTGATCTCTGGAGATATCGGGACAGTGAACCTTGAGTAATTAGAAAAAACGACAGGCTCCGACACCAAGGCGACGTTGATGTCAGACAACGAAATCAACCGTCGCTGATTCCGTGAGGAAGTCTCATCCTCACTCGATGGCGAAGACACAGCATCCACCTTGACTTGTCCAACAGTCAATAACCCCGTGACCAAGTCAGGCTTATCTTCCGGTTGCCTCTTTAGTGGTGCATCCTGTTTCGTCTCCATGTCAACTCGGATGGATATGTCATCCACCTGGACCTGCAGACGGTCTGCGACACCTTTAAGGAACGCAGCAACGAAACTCGGCAACGAGACGCCCTCATTGCCGTAGCCAAGCTCCTCTTCATCATCACTGCCTGATGTAGGTGTACGGTGAAGGACCTGAGATTGAGATGATATGGCTGCCTTCAGTTCTTCCTTTTCCTCCTTTGGTTCAGCCTGGAGGAACGATTGAGCGAGGTCGGTCGGATTAGGGATGATCGGATCGGGGGCAGGTTCATGGCCAGAGCCAGACCCCGTTGGTCTGTCGCCTTGTCCAGCATGGCGAGAGTCGTCGGAAAGTAGTCTCAGATGGACGTCGATGCCGCTGGCCTGGCAGATGATGCCGCTGCTGTAGATATCCGCGGGGACGGTGATCTTCAGGAAACGAACCCGGGCGCTGACGAGCTCACTTGAAGGAGGAAGGTGAAGAAGCGTAGCTAATTTCTATTTTATTATAGAGTTTTCTGATTAGCACATGCCGGAAGTCCGAAAACCCAGCGGGGAACAGCAGCGGATTGAGAGCCAGGGAAGCTAGCTAAGGTCGTCCGGGGGCACGAGTAGTGAGTGCACTTACATCCAGCCTCAACCCAATATCTCGTAGTTCCACGGTACTTCGTTGTCCCCAGCGTATACCCAGACTGTCCAGATCAAGGGCCTCTGTATCGACAAGGCCGAGACGAGATAACGCATATCGGAGCAATCGCTTTTGGAAGAACGACGGCAAGAAGTAGGCCATTTTGGGGGGGGGGCAAAGGAGCCGGCGGGGGCTCATTTGAAGATGGCAACTGTCATCTGAGCAAAAACATAATAAGGCAACAAGTACAAGAAAGAGACGATCGGGGAGTTGAGAGATGCCTTGCTCCTGGGACAGGCACCAGCACAACAAGTGTGTCGGGGGAACAAATGCGGAGGGTTTGCTGAAGGTGCCGGAGGGAAGGATGACGTTCGGGGATGTAGGCGCTAGTAGAGGAGGAGAGAGATAGCGAAGATCAACCGCAATAGTCAGGCGGAGCTTGGGCCGGGCCTCCCCAAATCACACCATGACAACTCACACTTACGTCGAACTTATCGCCTCATGGAGGGTTTTGAATTGTCAACCAGAGGATGAGCACTCGGCTCCGGGAAAATATCCAGAACAGCTGACTGAAGTGCAAATGCCGGGCAAGCAACTGCCAGCTGAATCATGGCAAATGAGCGATTCGTTGCGGTGTCTGGTGGACTTCTCGACACTGTTTATTTAGCCTCGGCCTAACGGTGATAAAACGGAAAATAATAACTCAATATTTACCACGAGAGTGGAGGAAAAAGTAAATAATAGTCAAGGTATTATCGATGAAGAAGAAACAAATCAACGGTCATCCTGCTGCAGAATCTCTCTTTTGTCCCCCCTTATCGCACTGGCTCGTGGAGTAGTCCATCATCCGCTCTTCTGGAGTTTGACCTCCACTCAATGAATCATGCAGCAAGCAGCAGCCGACATGATTCTGCTCACCAGGACGCTGATCATATTCTAGTATAGTCTACATTAAATTCCACTCTACCTGCGACCGGCCAAACTAACGACTCCTGCGATGAGGCGATGTTCTCCTGAAAAGCTGCAAGCGTTGTTGCTTTGCATAACAAGCACGTTCTGCTTATTCATCTCGGCATGCCGCTATATCATTACTAAGCGTACCCCTTCATTATGAAGTTTAATGCAACTTTTGGGGAATGGCTGTTGACGGATACACTATGAGTGGAATGTGAAATAGTTCAGTCTTGCTCTTCACCTTCCGTCTCCGCGAATTCCTCTGTAACCCACTGGCAGAATTTCTCAAAATCTGCATACCATTCCTGCAAACGGCTAGCCTTCGTCCCCTCCCCCAAGATCCCTTCCCGAAGATCGGACTGCCACTCCGCCGATGGCTGGTCTTGGTAACAGCTCCACCGGATGGAGTTCTCCACCATCATTGCAAGGCCCGTAAGACCCATGTTGTCAATCCCTTGAACCGCTTGCCAGAACTGTCGTGTCAGGTCGTTTGATTCACCGAGCAGGCCCGGCGCATTGATACCAAGAGATACAGGAACACCACGGGCTAATAGAACAGGTAGAGGATGCGTTTGAATACTGTCGGTGAGTCCAAGGATCTCATCTGAGAGCGGGCTGCACTCAATCAGGATTTTTTTCTCCTTGATCAGCTCGATCAGTAATGGATGTTGGCTGAGCGAGAGCCCTTGGCATATCCTCCGCGCGCCCAACAAGATAGCATCGAACAAACCTTGGTCTCCCCCAGTTCTCAGGGATTCACCAGCGTGGAAGCAGAAAGAGATATCCAAGCCCTCTGCAGAACACTCTTTGCGAAACCAAAATAGTATGGGAACCAAATCAGTGAGCGAGTGCTGATCATCCTTATCCACTATCATATCAAATCCGCAAATCGTATCGGGATAATCATACTTTGCCAGGATGCAATCTTTCATGTTCTCGACAATGTCTCGCTTCGACAATGAGCGGGGACAGGCCCATATAATCCGCGCTCCGTAAAACCCTTGCCCTTCCTGCGTCCCTTGGAAACGTGCAAGCTCTTCCTGAAACACGTGGCACCAATCGCTATGGCCTTCTTCGGGAATATCCTTCCCTTCCTTGCGATATGGGAATGTAAAAGTCGTTCTGAACTCCACGTATTTGATCCCATCGCTCCAAAGTCGAGCAAATACATGTCGCAAGCATGCCCGCAGGATAGGCTCATAGCTGAGCAGAGAATTCACAATTGGCATCACACGGCTATGATAATTCGCACGCCCCGCTTGAGGGATACATCGGCTTCGCAGCCAGTCACGAAACCCATTCTCTCCCCCATACGGGAAAGAAGAGGCCGCCTTTCTCAGTGGGATAGGACTTGAGGGCTCGTACGCAGACGACCACACAGTAGGTCTGTCTTCCAAGTCTTTTGACGCCGCCAACGAGTATTGAAAGGCGAATAGCTTCTCATCCAAGTCATCCTGGGATAGCAAAGGCTGCGTCGCAAAGACACACAATCCCGGGGTAGTGAACGCCACATTGATTAAAAAGTCCGCATTGATCATGGCATGTAACGGAGCATGCAACAAAGATCCTTTGGGCATTGCCTTGATGATTCTCCAGAGCTTTGTCTTCTGCACCCTATCCCAATCCAGGGACTTGGCCTCGGGAAACCGAGCATCATCTAAACCAGACGAAGTAGACAGCTGATGTAGCTCCCGGTCGCGGATTCTGGCGACAATACTGCAAGCTCTAGCAGCTGTTGGCGGTAAAGCCTTGGTAAGGTTGCTATCTAGTATCTTGAATTAGCCAAGTCCAAGTAAATATGTTGAGCGTGATACTACCCACCATGCCGCTGCTTTTGTTCTTCCAGAATAAGCGAACTCCGACCCCGCAGATATTGCTGGATAAATGGATCTTCAACTTGGGGGATGCCCTCCTCAATTTGCCACTCCTCATTCGACTGCGGCTCCATGTTGTGCGAACTATGCATATTGTAGCATGTGTGAAACAGATTAGCGGGGTAGAGTCGACTCAGGTACCATGAGCTGGCGAAAACAATGAGGTCATATCACGACCTTGTTTCTTGATTTTCCTTATCTCTTAGCTTGTAATACTAAAAGGCAACCCGTCTATCACAACAACAGGTTGTGTAGTGTAATGGTTATCACTCTGGATTCTGATTCCAGCAATCCCGGTTCGATCCCGGGCACGACCTTTTTGGCTTCCTTTCTTCCCTGCGCACAAGCAGTCTGTCGTGTTGTTAGTTTTTGACTCAGTCAAGTCAAAACTGTTCTGCTGTAATTGAATGGTCGTTAAAAGGGTATACCGATGCGGTCGCTAATGTGTACCGGTTGCGTCCACTGCACCGGCCGGTCGATCTCTTTGGAGTTTCTGCTTTGTGTATCCCACACTGATCACGTTCCAATAATTCCAGGATCCATTGAATGTGATACATATACACCCTGGTACTGTGGTGGTCAACGGCAATATATATCTAGTAGCGTTCATGTCTTGCAGTCAGGTTGTACATCCCCGTCTCACAGTCCAACGACTTTCCTTGCTCCAACCCGCTTGCCGTTTCCCTCAATGTAACGTTTCAAGTGTCGCAGACCGCATGCGGGAATAGGCCATTCAGACAAAGTGCAACTTGCAGGAAACACGCCATGTGAGCTCTGGGCTCTGTTCCAGTGTAGCGTCCGTTCTGCTGTCGAGTGATGTCCCAGTCTCCCTCTTTTCTCCAGTCTCATCTACTAGCGTCGGGGATGAATATATGTAACTGCCGCAGAGGTCGTAGGAACTAAGATCACCAAAAACTGATACGTTAAATAGAAGCAAATGGAGTCAACTACTGTTTCGCGAAGGAGAAGGTGTCCATAAGTACCATGCATATACTCCTTTTGCCCACGATCAGGGCGTCCAGACGCCAAGGATACCACGGGTTCTAAGCACTCGCAGGCCATGCATCATCTATTCCTGCATACAGCGTTCAAAACTGTTAGCAAAACTGTTAGCCATGAACATATAATTCGCAGATAGATGATTCGAGAGTCCAGAAATCAGACAAGATGAACGGGAAACACAATTATTTGGCTTTTTCCCACTGCTTTCTGGAGACCGAAGAATCAAGTGCTTGGATCTCTTGTTTTATTCTCTCCAAGTGCTTCTCATAGCATTGTCAGGTCCTAGTCAAGCGTACTGATCTTTTATATGGCTCTGTGATGAAATTGTTGGCTGCAATGTCATATTTCTCCGAGTTTTGATCAATGGTAGCCAGCCAGGTGGACGACTAGGAGTCATGGCTAAACGTATGGGACATCCATAGCAATTGCGAAAAGTTTTCGGCCATGTGGCACCCCACTGGTACACTCTTCAATACTAAAAAGGTCTTGAGGAGGTCAAAAGCAGGAAGCCTGTGTCTTTCCGCCACTGCTTCAAAAATTAAGGGTTAGTAACAAAATTCGTCACCGGGACCAAGTGAAATTCTAAGAAAAAAGCAAACATCGAAAAAGACAAGGCAAAATTATAGTGGTAAGGCAATAGTGTCCACAGGATTTGCAGGATTATTGTTCTGATGCAGCATGCATACTAGTAGAACCAACATACGGCGCAGACCACACCTTTTCCGGCCTATCAGACCGACTGTATTCGAGCTACAACTGAATGCCCAAAAACTCAACATGGAAAGCATTGCAAGTCGATGCAATAGTGAGCCATGTGACCGGTCATAGAGATGTCATCAAGAAGCATATTAGCTAGCCCCTTCAGCGCAAAGAGTTAGGATTAGGCTAATGGCCGGAAGGCAAGATAGAACAGTTTGCTCAGTCGTCATCAATAAACTTACACTACTCCGCACACTTTCCTGGATGAAAGAGGACACCCCGCAAAGATGCTCGTCCCTGGATACACAGCCAGTGACATCAAGCAGCAAAGGCTCCAGGTGACACAAAGACGAGAAAGTATAAAGGGTAGACCGCCGGAGTGGCCGCGACTCCATCCCTGGCATAATGCGTCTTGCCCATCGATAGAGCTTTTTGACCCACGTTGTACAACCTCGAGGCTTGATCATGGCCGTAGCAACATAGGCTGCTTAGGTCTCATCATTTCTTGATCAGACGTGTCTCACCGTAAGCCCACCATAAGACACCTTCGGTTCGCGTGCCATCCCCCCCCCGCGCGCAAATATCTTAGGAGAAGCTGCAGATGCACCATGGGACAGTCTCTTATTCCTTGGATCCGTGACTAATTCACCGTCTCCTCCCCGAGAAGTTAGTACCCCAGAGATGACGGCAGATGAAAAAGCCCTGGAGATTAGCCAGAAGACCACGATCATGTCACAGGCTTGCAGTGATTCGAATGAGACTGCAGGTGTTCATGCAGGTAACTCAGAAATCCCCCGCGGCGATGATATCAGTGCCCCAGACATGAAGAAGCTACCCACAGAAGAACATCAGGGCAAACAAAATGATATCGAAGAAGCCGACATAAGCCACACTCCTCGGAAACAATATCGGCGTTGCATGTCCAGGTACTCCAGGCATGTGGCATATGCTGGAATTCTGATACTTTTCACAGGGTGAGCTTCAATTGCTGCACTTTTAACCCCATAAATTTGCAAGCTCACCTATTCCTTACCCCCAGGTGGTGGGTTGCGGGGCTTATCCTTCACCGTGATGACCTAGGATGGTTGATCCCCTTTCTTGTCTATCTGGCTATCACACTTCGTATACTCTTTCTCTATCTTCCCATCTCTGTGCTCACTAGACCGGTATTCTGGATCTGGAAACAGACCGTCTCACGTATTGTGAGCCATGTGCCTCCAAGGTTTCGTATACCAGGAGCAGCGATAACGACAATTGCCGTGATTATGATCGGTTGTTTCGTCTCTGCGGATACACCAGAAAACACGCGAGCCGACAGAGCAGTCAGCCTATTCGGGCTGATCGTTTTCTTGTTCATCCTATGGATCTTCTCTCGGGACCGCAAGAATATCGTCTGGCATACCGTCATCGTCGGCATGTTGGTTCATTTCCTTGTGGCTTTATTCGTCCTGCGGACACGGGCGGGATACGACATCTTTAACTTCATATCGACCCTGGCCCAGAAACTACTGGGGTTCGCAGAGCAAGGTGTCGACTTCCTCATCGAGACAGGCTGGGCTGAGAAACACAAAGGATGGTTCATCGTCAGTGTTATCCCTGCAATTTTGTTCTTTGTATCTCTTGTGCAGCTCCTATATCACGCCGGCATCTTACAATGGTTCGTTCGCAAATTTGCGACATTCTTTTTCTGGTCGATGCGTGTGTCCGGGGCAGAAGCGGTTGTTGCAGCGGCCTCTCCGTTCATCGGGCAGGGAGAATCAGCCATGCTTATACGGCCTTTTGTACCGCACCTGACGATGGCGGAAATTCATCAAATTATGACCTCTGGATTTGCCACCATCGCCGGCTCTGGTCTCATCGCATACATCGGCATGGGCGTCAATCCTCAAGCCCTTGTATCTTCCTGCGTCATGAGCATCCCCGCCTCCTTGGCAGCATCCAAGATACGCTGGCCCGAAAAAGAAGAAACCCTCACAGCAGGCCATGTCACCGTCCCGGAAGACGAAGAGCATCAAGCCGCAAACGCCCTTCACGCGTTTGCCAATGGCGCCTGGATTGGTATCAAAATCGCAGGCATGATCACCTCCAACCTACTTTGTATCATTTCTCTGGTCGGTCTAGCCAACGGTCTTCTCACCTGGTGGGGACGCTACCTGAATATCAACGATCCTCCTTTGACGATCCAACTCATTATGGGATATATCTGCTACCCTGTTTCCTTCCTTTTGGGTGTTTCCCGGGACGACGACCTCCTGAAAGTAGCACAACTAATCGGCATGAAGCTTGTGATGGTAAGCTAATTCTCCAATACCCAGAACCTACCCCTAACTAGGGATACAACCGTTAGAACGAATTCATAGCATACTCAGCCCTCCAAACCGACCCGCAATACCAAACTCTATCTCCGCGATCAAGACTAATAGCCACGTACGCGCTCTGCGGATTTGCGAACATCGGCTCCCTAGGAAACCAGATCGGGGTGCTGGCACAACTGGCTCCCGAACGGGCAGGAGATGTATCTTGCGTGGCGGTTAGTGCAATGATAACAGGAGCGATCAGCACACTTATGAGCGCAGCGATTGCCGGAATGATTGCTATTTAGAATGCTGCGGGTAGTAGATCTAGCGCCATGTTTACCTAAGAGTGAGAGATACAACAATGTGTCTGATTGAGCTGTGTAATGCAGTTATTCGGTTTGGGATGGCAGTTGATCTTCTGCAGCAATAGGATAAAAGGAGAAACGTCGAGTTGGTATTTTCTCTAGCTGTCTGTTTGCGTGTAAGGTAGATGTAAGAGGAAGATTTCTGAGGGGCTTCGACAAGTCCGGAAGACGTTGCCGCTCTTCACCTGCTTTAGGAAGGTGCCGATGCTTTCACTCTCTGAACGGTCTCTGGGCTATGGATGAAATGTACCTTTGTAAGACAGCGAATGAATTTAATTAAGAGACGATGGGAGATTAGTTAGGGCAGTAGCTATATTGCCAATACTACTTATTGCAGAGGGTTGGAGTTGTAGCTATGTAGTACTACTATGTGTACTCCGTGACACTAAGTACTATCTAGGAAAGTAACATTGGGGTGAGTAAATAGCGATAGAACAATGGATCATGGGTTGTTTATTTGTTTACTAACCTGTATTTGCTGTGCTTGCTTGTGGAGGACACTCTTCTAGCGCAAAAGACTTTCCTGTCGTGCCTTAATAGTCCTGGTTATGGTGGATATATTGTCAGCAGGATTACTTTTCACCCTGGCGATGGCAATAGTAGCTCCTATGTATTCTGCTACTAGGTTAGTATAGACAATATCAACACTTATATTGATCGAAAAATACAATGGAAGCTATCTCTTTGTTCAGTGACTGCCTACGTAATAGCTACCAACGAACCCAACATCATGTGCAGGTAATAATAAGAATGATTGTAAAATCAAAGCAGGGTATTTGTCCCGGGACACGCGCGGGCTCCTGTATTTCCATTCCAATTGTGGTCCCAAACGAGAATTCCCCGAACGCATAAACTCCTGAAAAATCATCGGTGCTGAACTCATGACTTCGTTACGACGAAGATTAGAATGCACCATGCAACCGTTGCCCCCAAATGAAACGCACAGACCCCGATCTCATGCAATGCAAGTCGGTCCGTCCCATGTCTGCGGGAACAACCGAACGGACGACGACGATTATAGACGAACCAATTACTCGATGTCTTCGATGTCGCGGTGCCGGGCCATAACGTGTTTTTTGTATTCTTCCTGGTCGGTGTCCCAGAGCTCAGCAGCTTGGGCGTTGAGAGGGCTCGCGCTAAGTAGCTGTTAGCATGAACGGTCGGAACGTTGCGATGTGGTTTCGTCTTACTTGTTAGGTTCACCCAGCAGACTCTGCAGACTAAGGAGAACACTCTGCACGTTGTAGACGGCACTCCACTTGTCCTTCAGGATGTCCAGACAGATACGGCCGGAGAAGTCGACATTAGGGTGGTAGATGGGAGTTTTGAATAGAACAGTAGGGGGAGCGTAAGGGTAGTTGTTGGGGAAGGCAAAGGAAAGACGGAAAGTAAGTCCTTCGTAAGGAGTTTCAGCCGGTCCGCTGATAGTGGCAGTCCAGGAGAGGAGGTTGCCGTCGGCGTCAGGGAAGGCCGAGATTCCCGGAGAGGGGGAGAGCATTAGCTGCATCAGCTCGGCTTGGAGGCTGGCGAGATAGAATGATAATCAGTATGCAAGATTCCAGAGGAAAAGTGAGTGATTTGAAGGCTGCATTCAGCATCGTAGTACGAACCGTTTGGTGACGCTCTGAATGTCGGTTCTCTGGGCTGACGAGTTGAGCTTGGACGCCTCGTGGGCGTCAGGAGCCGAGTTCTGAGTGTCTTCCATGCTGTAGTCCATTATGAAGAAGTGTAAAGAGATCGGGGGTATAGCGGAAGCAACGGTCGGTTTAAGAGGAAGAGACGATGACGAGAGTTTCCGGGATGGGAGGAATGCCAGGTAGAGTTGAACGGACCGTCGTAATCGGTAGGAAGAGAAAGGAAGAGGAAGAAGAAGAGGGTTGTCTGGAATGACGCTGGCTCCGAATGCAGCGGGACAGTTGGCTGGAGGGGAAGCGGATTGACCCACCCGATGAATCCCCGGATGCTGTGAACTCAGAACAAGCCTTGATGGAACGTTAGGCAAAAAGAGGTGGAGGAATGGAAAATTGTTGTCTACCAGTATCACTGAAGTAGTCAAGCTCGAAATCCTAGAGAGATAGAAAGCAGGGGGGAGGAAGAATATAGTGGGTTCATGTCGGGTCGACAATAATGGAGGGGACGTTCGGTCTTTCATTGTTTACTCGGCCATCCGCCCGGCAACGCCGCCGCCAACTGATTCTTTGGGGCTCCACCAGATGACCGGTCCAGATCATCTTCATCCGTCACGCTTGGGAAGTTATCGTGAGTCGCTAGCCATTTTGTCATCGCGAAACTCAGTTTTCTAGTGATTCTCCCGTGATGGGACCTCAAGGTTCTTGTAAGGAGAAGAAGTGATGATGTACCATTTTCCCTACAAATCTTTTGAAACTTGTTTTCGGTTAAGTGGAATATTGGCCAGTGTCGATGCAAATTCAGACAAAGTAATTGTGGTGTCGTTTCGGTGCGACTCCGGATCTTTTCCCTACAGTTGGACTTCATTATTGGCTGCTGCGGGTCCAGATCGAGCCAGCAAAAGCAGCGTGGCCAGTGTGTCTGTTAAGTCCAGGGCAGATCAGGCGGTCAAGTAGTCGATATAATGCTCGTAGCTGCATCTCTCCTGGTCTTCGCATTCCTCACTCAAGTCAAATAACTTCAACTATTTTCCTGTCTTACTGATCTTTGATTCCATTTCTCTGTCGAGATATCCCCCTTCCTCCCTATTCATCATGTTGGGTCCACTAAAGGCTGTGCCAGGCAGCCGATCAACAGATTACCCAAAGAGGATAAAGTGGCTCTCGCGTTCCGCCCAGCGCGTTCTCTTCAGCTTCGTTCTCCTTCCATCGCCCTTGCATTGATACTCGCCACCGTCACACGATCATGGCTCAATATTGACTTCCCCCTTAAATGACAAGATCTGTGAATCTCAGTTGATCTGTCATATTTGGTCCTTCTCGTGATTCTTCGTCAACATGCACCACTCTCAGCTGGCCCCGCTGCCGAATGACTTGCCGTTTCGCATCGTTTCCAAAACAATTGGTCAGGGTGCTTACGCTTGGTAAGGTTGACTTCATCGATTGTGCTCTGGTATTTGAAATCTCAAACATCTGCTGACGAAGAGTTACGGCGCAGCATCAAGAAGGCCGTCCCCACCTACACAGACAATCCCGTTTTCGCAGTCAAGTTCATCCACAAAGAGTACGCCGCCCGCCATGGAAAGGTCAGCCCGCGTCAGCTACAAATGGAGGCGACAGTCCACAAGCATATCGGGGATCATAACAATATAATCTCATTCTTCCAAACTGGGGAAGATGACATCTGGCGTTGGATCGCGATGGAGCTGGCCGAGGGTGGCGATCTGTTCGACAAGATCGAGGCTGACGAGGGTGTTGGCGAGGACATCGCGCATGTATACTTCTCGCAACTGATAAGTGCCGTGGGTTATATGCATTCGAAGGGCGTGGGCCACCGCGACATCAAGCCGGAAAATATGCTGTTGACAGCCGACGGGAACCTGAAAATCGCAGACTTTGGGCTAGCCACGTTATTCGAGTACAAGGGCGTGACGAAATTGTCTACAACTTTTTGTGGGAGTCCTCCATATATTGCACCCGAGGTGATATCTTGCAGTAGCAAACATATGATGAAAGGTGCAGGCTACCGACCGGACCTAGTGGACATCTGGTCCTGCGGAATCGTCCTGTTTGTCCTCTTGGCTGGAAACACCCCGTGGGATAGTCCGACAGAGACCAGTTACGAATTCCAGGAATACCTCGCAACAAATGGACGCACATCCGATGAGCTTTGGCAGCAATTGCCTATAGAGACTCTTTCACTACTACGTGGAATGCTGAACATCGACCCCTCTAACCGCTTTTCCCTGGAGGACGTTCGGAGACATCCCTGGTATACCCGACCGAACAAATACCTATCCCGAAACGGCACATTAAGGGATCCGATTAACTTAGCTACAACCATGTTCGAGTCACTCCATATCGACTTTTCCCAAGATCCTTTCGCTCAACCCCATGGGGGTAGTTTTGGTGGGGGTCGAATGGATATCGATCTGGGTGATGGGATTGATGCTGAACAAAGGATTTCATCAACGCAGCCGGAGATGCCGAGGACTGATATGCTGGTGGACTGGGATACCCCGCAAGTGGCGGATGCGTTCTCATCAACACAACCCCTGGGGCGACCGTTCTCTGCCGACGACATGTCGGCTCTCGACCATCTAGAGGATGAGCCGTCAATGTCACAATTCTCGCCTCATCCGTCCGTACCCCTGAGTCGGACGCAGAAAGCGCAGCGATTCCATGACATCGTGCCTTCTCGTCCCATGACACGATTCTTCTCTACGTGGGAGCTTAAGATCCTAGTGCCTCTCATATGCGAGGCTTTGCATCGTTTAGGGGTTCCGGTTCCTGCGGTTCCCGCCGTTTCCGCAGGGGACACTTCCGCAATGCTTCGTATCGTAACTCGGGATGGGAGGATGTGCACTTTGCAGGGTAAAGTCTTGATCGAATGTGTCTCCGAGGGTCTATTTGAGATTGAGTTTATGAAGGTGAAGGGCGATCCGCTGGAATGGCGGCGTTTCTTCAAGAAGGTGGCCGTGCTTTGCAAGGACGCCGTCTACAAGCCTGACTGCTAGAATGCAGCCAGGATACATGCTTATGCACCTCGACCAGGCGCCTATATTATTGCTGTTATTGCCTGGTGTCACGTCTGACGGTTAATGTACGAGTAATGCCATTTATGACGGTTGGGTAAGGATTGGGTAGGGAAGGAAAAGGTTTTGGCTGCCTATCAGGTTCTGGCTCTTAGTTGATATTAGTATTTTGACTCGAATGAGTGTCAAGAGAATGGAAGGCCTTCGGAAATTTCAAGAATCATCAAGAACGAATCCGTGCGGTGTAACTTTGCTATATATAGGACTAGTAATCCGCCTATGATAGCGCTGGAATGTAGTATCCGGCATTCCAAATGCAACAAGAGCTTTTAGGTTACAGGGCAGAATAATTCAATTAAACTTCTAGACCAACCTACGTAAGCCACATAAGCCTTCCTATATGCCTTAGCAGTCTTTTATCAGTTACGTGTGAAGTTGATCGGCGATGCTAGACTGAACTGTTGCTTGTCGGCCTGCGCATCCCCCACGTGACGACGGTCTAGATTGCGGATTGTGGGGGGATAAAATGGAGCTTCATCCCCAAGAAACAGTTATGGCCTTTGCTTACACCCTCCGTCGCACAAGCTAAATGAGTCAGACCCGTTGGCCCTCAATGGTTCTCTTTTCTCAGTCTCACCCATGGAGAAACTCCCCGTAGAGATCCTCTGCGAGATTATTGACTGTACGATGTTTGCCCCCATTTCTCCCAGGGTCCAGGTTACCCCACATCACCGGTTTCATGCCATGTGCTAGACCTTCATTAGCATTAGCTGACGCACCCTTAGATCTCACCCCACACGAGCGGGTACAACTTCAGTCCGTCTCGAGGCGGCTATTCTCCGTGGCCCGGGATAACAATCTCTGGAGACTCCACTGCTTCGAAGAGTCATGGAGCGCTTCCGGAGCCTTGCGTTCCGCTACCAACAAGACCTCCGAGAGCCTGCTCACCAACTCCACGGCTTCCCTGAGCTCATTAGGCCAAACTTCGCTTCGATCGCTGATACAGCCAGGCGCGTCTGGGCTCAGAGACAGTAAATCAAACGGCTTGGATCAAACGCCGTCTTATGGGCAAAGATCCAGAGCGGCGGCGTCGTGGGACCCGTCTTACGAAGGGGAGGAGGTGAACTGGTACTCGGAGTACATTGCTCGAAATGGCCCCATTTCACTTAGTTGGATGCAGCAACCCTTCACCAGGGTATCACAGGGTGGGAAAAGGGAATACCGAGAGGTCAAAGGAATGGGACTGCTCCGGGATTGGAGTACTGCTCGACAGAACAAAGTCGTTGCGCCCCTTGATGACGGTAGTGTCTGCATTTGGGATCTCAATCACTCGCATTCGATTGGATCCCAGAGCACCAAGGGTAAGGTTCTTGGAGTCAGCTCGCCGGGAATATTGATGGCCAACCGGTTTGGCAGACGAGACAACTCTGGAGCAAAGCAAGCCTTGGAATTCGTGAATCTGGGAGAATGTGTGAGCGTAGACTCTATGCGTCGGAGGGCCTACCTGGCTGTCGGGAATATTCTAAACGAGGTAGATCTCGAAAGTCTCACTGTTATTTCCCAACAACGCTTCCCTTGGTCCGTTTTTGCCTTGTCCCAGGAGACGGATTATTCTGTACCGTTGACGGTGGCTACCACTTTGAGTCTTCACATCTACGATGGCAGAATGTCAGCGACGGAGGAGCAGGAGGCTATCACTCTACGTTGTGAGGAGCCGACCGTCTCGCTAGTCCCTAAATCTGAGATCTATTCTCCGCCCGATTCACCACTTTTGCAGCTACAACCGAACGGACAACCCCCGCACCGGATACGAAGCCCTGATCTCTCAAAGAACAGTGACAACTATGCACCCTTATTCCAGCCAGGACCTCTCTCGCTTCTACACCCTCCCGCACCGCACGTGAACTCGATCTTCCTCGCTGGTCGTTTCCCAAGCATCCTGCAGTATGACCGTCGCTTTTTCCCACGGCTTCAGAACACAATTCATTCTGGTGGTCAACTCTGCGGACTTGCTGCTGTTCCAGCGCCGCGATTCCCTGTCTCTCCCAACTCTGAATTTCCCGCGTCCCACAAATTGGTGGCCTGCGGTGACTACAAAGGGCGAGGTTCTCTTGAGCTCTACAATCTCACTCCCTCCAACACCAACGCCAAGAGCGATCCATCGGGCTGCTCGTCCAACCTGTCTACAGTATACCAAAATCGGCAGAGTGTCGCTAGATCCAAGGTGCTCTCAGTCGAATCACACGGGACCCGTATCGTCTACTCCGATGCAGACGGAAATATCAAATGGGTTGAGCGTGATGGACGTTCCGAAGTTCGGCGCCTGAACATTAATTCATACCAACCGCAGCGAAGATACTACCCACAGCGCAATGGGGAAACGTCCACTCATTTGGGAAGCAACGCTGATACCAACGGTGAAGAGGAAGAACAGACATTCGGATTATGGGGTAGCCTATCGCGGTCTCGCAGCGAGGGCGAAGTTGCTCGAAAGATTCTCCCAACCGGCGGCAGCTTGACAGGTGATGAACTACTTGTCTGGACAGGGGAACACATCGGACGCGTCCATTTCTCAAACCTCCCTGACACGGGTCTAGACTCGGATGAAGAAGATGATGCTATAACTCTCGATGGAAATATCGGGGAAGCGGAGCGTGAAGAGCGACGGAACAAGCGGCGGGAGCTACGTCGGCGGGAAGATGAATATGCCACGATGATGCGCAGGGCACTGGAGAGGCAGGCCGACGAAGTGAGACGGATGGGGGGCCTGGGGCTGTGATTTGAAGATGATGTTTCCCTCCAATGAAATAGATGAAGCGCATCTCATTAACGCATACTTGTCTTTTCAAGATTCTGCACGTACCCCTTCATACATGATTCGTTGGTTTGGTTGAATATACCTCCAGTTCGGGCTTGATGTTATGGTAGCGATACCCTTGTGCTTAGATAGAACCTGCGAGTGATCCTATTTAGATCAGATATATAAGATTACACTATGTCTTCTGCCCGTTTGCTTCTTACGTTTGTCCGATGAATTGCCTAGTTCCGTCGTTCTCGGGTGCGGCGAGAATCTCCAACGGCCTCGGCCTGCCGCGATGACTGGCTTCTGACAAACCATTAGTGAGCCCCCACGGGTTTTGCCTTTCCTTCCCATTCTCTCGGTCTCTTTGAAGGGCTCCGCTTCTGCTTCTTTGCTTTCAGTTACACATATTTTCTACCATATCCCATAAACAGCTTCTTCAATTACCTCATTCCAAAAGTAAAGGCGAAATCCCATCGCCTCTGTCATCTCCTCCCCGCGTCCTCCGAATCCGAGCCTCCGAGTCTCCGCCCCGAAGATACAGTCATCCCACTCAAGGATCGCGACGGAATCGCAAAGCACAGTGTACTCGGCGCAATTGTTATAAACCCTCGAGGTTTCGCACTTAAGCTGGGTTCAATTCGTGGACAGCACCAGCAATTCCAAACCTACCAATCTCCCCATTCCATCAGAGGATCCAGTTACCCTCAAGGTAGCATTTAGCCATTCCCTCAGCCCCGCCTCCAATTCCGCAAAGCAACGAGGGGAACAATTCTCCAAGACAACCACCTCCTTCATACAAGACAACCAAACCCGAACCACCAGCCAACATGCATTCTCCTTCGGACCCAACCCTTCAATTCGACTCTATTGAGGACACAATAGCAGCCTTCAGTGAGTCACCCAGCTCCAGAACCTCCCACCCGCGCCGGCGCGGGGCAAATCCATCCCACCACACCCATGACACATACATACTACACCCATATAACTAACAACCATACCAATGCACCAGAGAACGGTGAATTCATCATCGTGCTCGATGACCAAGACCGCGAAAATGAAGGCGATCTCATCATCGCCGCCGACTCCATCACTCCGGCGCAAATGGCCTTCCTAGTTCGCCACACAAGGTGAAACCCCCATCTCCCCCACCCCCAACCAGCATATCAAATGTTACTCAACAAGATCATCTATGCTAACGATGAATGAGCAGTGGGCTGATCTGCGCCCCTGTCACCCCCGAAATAGCCGCCCGACTCGCCCTCCCCCAAATGGTTACCGAGAACGCCGATCCCAAGGGAACCGCATATACCGTCTCCGTCGACGCAGCTGATCCCTCCATAACAACAGGTATCTCGGCACAGGACCGCGCCCTTGCCTGTCGGATCTTGGGATCTCCCACCTCCACGGCAGCGGATCTGCGACGACCCGGCCATGTGATTCCGCTACAGGCTAGACCCGGAGGTGTTAGGGAACGCAAGGGACATACAGAGGCGGCAGTGGAGTTCTGTCGGTTGGCGGGCAAGACGCAGGCGGGTGTCATTGCGGAACTTGTGGAGGATGGAGAGGTCGTCCAGGGTGTTCCGGAGATCGGAGGCAACAATGGGATGATGAGACGGGATGGGTGTTTGAGATTTGGCAAGAAGTGGGGGATCAAGGTGTGTACGATTGAGGATCTGGTGGAGTATGTTGAGAAGGTGGAGGGTGCTGCTGCCGTCAATGGGCACTGAGTGAGTGAGTGAGTGTTGTTTGATTCTTCATACATGATTTCTTCTCTTCGTCGCCTCTCTTGCATGTCTTCCTGTTCCATATTGTTTTTGTTGGAGCATCTTAACATGCGTGCTTTCTACTGTCCTGTTTCATACCTTTTATATTCACTCTCTTTCGTGGTATACCTCATGGGACCGGATGGGCCTCGTTGCATTCAAGGGGGAAAACAACTCGAAAATTTGGCTGGGTGTATATACTTACTAGATGGAGGGTGCACGGTTGGAGAGATGTTGGCTTCGTCAATAGAATTAGTAGCTTTTGGCTTGGATATCAATCGAATGTATACATATGTTGAACATAACTAGATAATATCACTTCTTCCTACTGAAGTAGTAGATTAGAACATCTAACCAGAAACCTGGACAAGCCTCTATAACCATTTAATTATCCGGGTATCGATTTTGCTATAATAATTGTACAGGTAACCATAGAACAACCCCATGTCTAATACCACAAACGCCAGTATAATGCAATGTAAGCCCCAAGCAAAAACCCAAAAAGACAGTGGCACACTTTTCGGAACCAGGAGTCGACGAAACCAAGCACTACCGTTTGAGGTGCGAATAATCTCTCAAAACGCCCATCATGTGAGTGTTGGTGGTCTTCCCACTCCGCCGTGGCTTTTTCACCTTCTTGTTCTCAATCTTCGGCCGGGCCTTGACAACCTTGTTCTTGTTGGTAGGTAAAATACCCGCCTTTTCCAACTCTTCCTTAACAGCCTGCTGATCAGGAACCTTGATCTTCTCCCAGATCTGACGGAACTCAGGATCAAAGTGCTGAATCAAGGATGGATCATTAGCCCAAACCATCTTGGCATGATCGTCCTTCTTGTTCCGAGTGACCAGCAGCTTGCCTTCCTTCTCGAGTTTATTGATCGTATCCTCCACGTTGGGCCAACCCTCGCGAAGTTCGCGCACACTCATTCCCGCACCAGTCGACTGGGACTGGAGTTTCTGGAGGAGCTGTTCGGCAGTACGGATGTTGTGCGGGGGACGGAAGCTGAAAGTGCCTTCGCCGTTTGCGCCGCTGGGATCGTACTGAACCTTCTCATGCATCTGCAGAATGCTCCGCAGTGCTTGGACATAGCCTTGGTCGTTGGCCCGATGTTGAAGGGACAAGTAGGAGACAATATCGGCAAACTTGAGCGGGATTCCCTTGGACTTCATGTGCTCGATCGCAAAGACAACTTGCGTCATGATATCCTTTCCTGTGCCGGTATTGGCAGGCTGCGAGTAAACAATATCCGCATCGTGCCGTTTGCGTCTCGCATCGTCGCTTGGAGTAGGTGTAGACGTAGAGGAGGGAAGCTGGGAACTGCTCGCTGAAGTGTTGTTGGCGTTGTGCACGAAACGACGCTGTTGGGGCATTCGGGCTGCATAGTCCATAACACCAGCGTTGAAGCTCTTCAGCTGCTGTTGAAGATGCGACATGTTGGCAGTGGTAAGGCTGTGCCTAGATTACACCTGAGAAGGAGACGTAGAACGAAGATCGAGGCCAAGGGGGCAGTGAAGCCAGACTGAGGCGAGGCCTCGCTTTGTGAGAGCACAAAGGAGCTCTGGTAAAGGCTGTGTTATATCATATGAAAACAGAGAATAATGGGCCAACCCCGGAGGACAATCCCTAGATCAAGAGTACCTCACAGACGAGGTAAATAGAATCAGTGGGGATGTGGGGAGAGAAAGAGAAGGAAGAAGGTCGTCATCGCCGCCTGAGTCTTTGCGATGCACCCGTTCCGGCCTGAGGCGGACATGACATCACGTGAGTATTGACATACGCTAACCATATCGAGAGCTCCCGCCCAGCCATGGAGCCTCTCGTTCGTTACATCTCATCGCGCAACGGGGCCCTGTTCATCTTCTCCCCTTCACTAGTGCCCATTCCATCATTCCCAGCGCTATTCCATGGCTTAGTCTGCTACCTGGAAGCTGTGCGCTCTCGCTAAGGGGAATTTCTTTCAACGCGCAGCAGACCCATTCCGATTCACCTACTGTGGCTTGTTCCGTCACTTCGTCCATTGTTTGTCGTCATATAGCATTACCCTTCATTTGCCAGCAGCTATCGCTGCGGACAGCCCATGGTAATCATGGCTGCTGCTACGATTGAGTTACCGTTTATTTCGTCGCACTACGCCATTGCCGAGTCGACTTTGAGCACCCTCACCACAGCTCCTACGGTCGAACTAGTCAACCAGCTTTTGGAAGCTATTACCACAAAAGCACGCGAGCATGATGAGCTCAAGTCTGATAAGATACGCCTCGAGGTGGAACTCGATAATGCCGTCCGCTCCAGAGACAACAAGATCAAGGTCCTGAAGAGCTCGGTCGAGAAGGGTCATGCCGAAGTCGAGGAAACAAGGAAGAAACTCCACGAGTCCGGTTAGTTCCTATGCGGACCCGCCACTACGCGTTTACTTACGCTCTGCAGAAAATATTCGCTCTACCCTGGAATCCGAGATTGCTACACTCAAGTCGTCCTCCACGTCAAACGAATCCGAAGCCAGCTCATTGAAATCTCGCATCTCATCGCTCGAAGCTTCCAACCGAGACACTCTATCACTCCTCGAATCCAAGTCCGCAGCCTATGACAAGCTTGCCGAGGAGCTCTCGACACAACACAAGAAGACAATCGAATTGAGACGCGAACTCTCCACCGCCGAGCAGAACCTCCAGGCCGCAAACTCTGCCTCCGCCAGCGCTAAGTTCCGTGAGCAGAGTCTCCAGCAGGATTTGGAATTGACAAAGAAAAATAACGAGTGGTTCGAGACGGAATTGAAGACTAAGTCCGCCGAGTATCTGAAATTCCGCAAGGAGAAGAGCGCCCGAATTTCGGAGCTTCAACGCGAAAATGAGGAGATCAGTGCCAATGTTGACTCATTGAGACGGAGTGAGAACGCCCTCAAGAGCCGTCTGGATGAGGTGGAGCAGCGTTATGAAGAAGCGCTTTCCAGCATCAACCAGCTTAGAGAAGACGCCATCAAGGCGACCGAATCGTTCAGAATCGAATTGGATAGTGCAAGTAGACTGGCCGAATTGCAGTCAAATGCTTCCGAGACTTCGAAGCAGCGTGCCAAGGAATGCCAACTCGCTCTGGACAAAGCAAGAGAAGATGCTGCGGAGCAGATTTCCCGTCTCCGAGTGGAAATCGAAACCGAACACGCCGACAAAGAAGCTGCTGAGCGCCGCGTTGCTGAGCTTGAGCTCACGGTCAGCCAGCTCGAATCCGATGGTTTTGCTGGAAGGAGATCCATGAGCCCGGCGCTGAATGGCGCAGGGCCCAGTACCCCAATGCGTCCCAGTACTCCAGTGGGCGCGTTTTCACCTAGAGCGTCGCGCGGAAAGGGAGGACTCACCCTGACGCAGATGTATACCGAGTACGACAAGATGCGGACATCGCTGGCCATGGAGCAAAAGACAAACCAAGAGCTTAGATCGACTCTAGACGAGATGGTCCAGGATCTTGAGGCCAGCAAGCCTGAAATTGATGAACTTCGTGCAGATCACGGTAGACTCGAAAATGCTGTCGTCGAAATGTCCAACATCTTGGAAACCGCTGGGAAGGAACGAGACGATGCAACCAAGGAGGCAAGGAAGTGGCAAGGTCAAGTGGAGGGATTGGCCCGTGAGGGAGACATTTTGCGTCAGCAACTAAGAGATTTGAGCGCTCAGATTAAGGTCTTGGTTTTGGAAAATGCCATTCTGAAGGAAGGCGAGACCACGTACGATAGAGAGGAACTCGAGAAGATTGCACGCCAGGAGATTGATGACTCTTCTGCTGATCTCAACCCAACCGGACGTTTCATCAGTCGCAATTTGATGACATTCAAGGATCTTCACGAGCTCCAAGAGCAGAATGTCACTCTCCGCCGTATGTTGAGAGAGCTTGGGGATAAGATGGAGGGCGCAGAGGCCCGCGAGCAGGATGCCATCCGTCAACAAGAGCAAGAAGAGTTGAAGGAGCTGAGAATCCGAGTGCAGACTTACCGTGACGAGATCGCTAACCTCGTCGCCCAAACAAAGAGTTATGTTAAGGAGAGGGATACCTTCCGGAGCATGCTTACCCGCCGTCGTCAAACCGTTGGCGACGCATCTGTCTTCTCCCAGTCTCTTCCTCTGGGCGCAGCTCCTCCCGCTTCCGAAGAGCCGGCCAAGGATGTTCCAGACTACGCTGATCTGTTGCGCAAGGTGCAGGCACACTTCGACAGCTTCCGCGAGGAGTCCGCCACCGATCATGCGGCATTGAAGCAACAGGTCAATGAGCTGTCCAGGAAGAACAGTGAACTGATGAGCGAAATCAGCCGCTCCAGCAGCCAGCTTGTTGCCGCCACCCAAAGAGCCGAGCTTCTCCAGGGCAATTTCGACATGCTCAAGAACGAAAACGCAGAAATGCAGAAACGCTACGCCACTCTCCTGGAGAACGCCAACCGGCAAGATATCAGGACTCAGCAGGCTGCGGAAGATTTGGTGGAGACGAAGGGTCTCGTTGAAAGCCTTCAACGAGAAAACGCTAACCTCAAGGCAGAGAAGGATCTCTGGAAGAATATCGAGAAGAGACTCATCGAGGACAACGAGACACTGCGCAACGAGAGAGGCCGACTTGATTCTCTCAATGCCAATCTTCAAACCATCCTCAATGAGCGTGAGCATACCGATGCTGAGAGTCGTCGTCGTTTGCAGAGTAGCGTCGAGTCTCTTGAATCGGAGCTTCAATCTACCAAGCGGAAGCTTAATGATGAGGTTGAGGAGGGAAAGAAGGCATCGTTGCGCAGGGAATACGAACATGAGCAAAGTCAGAAGCGAATTGATGACTTGGTGACGAGCTTGGGCGCCGCTCGGGAGGAGTTGGTTGCTGCGAAGACGACAAGAGATCACTTGCAGTCGAGAGTCGACGAACTCACTGTCGAGCTGCGTAGCGCCGAAGAACGCCTTCAGGTCGTGCAGACTAAGCCAAGTGTGTCTGCTGCTCCTACTGAAGCGCCTGTGGTTCCGGAGGAAGGCCAGGAGAGTGGTTTGACACGCGAACAGGAGCTTGGTATTGAAGTTTCCGAGCTTCGTCGTGATCTGGAGTTGACAAAGAATGAACTTCAGCACGCGGAAGAGCGGGTGGAAGACTACAAGGCTATCAGTCAGCAGAGCGAAGAGCGTCTGCAGTCGGTTACTGAGACCCAGGAACAGTATCGGGAGGAAACGGAGCGTCTCATCGAAGAGAAGGATAAGAAGATTCAGGACCTTGAGAAGCGCATCGAAGAAATTTCTACCGAGCTTTCGACTACGAATGGCGAACTTACCAAACTGCGTGACGAGCAAGGGGAGGCTGGCCGGCATTTGGAGGAGCAGAAGGCCGCGCTGGAAGCAGAGATCACAAGGTTGAAGGACGAAAATGAACGGCAGATCGCTTCTGCTCAATTCCACCAGGAGGATCTCAAGGCGCAAGCTGAAATTGCGCAGCATGCCCAACAGAACTACGAGACCGAGTTGGTCAAGCATGCCGAAGCCGCGAAGAACCTACAATTGGTCCGGTCCGAAGCTAACCAGCTGAAGCTGGAAGTTGTCGAACTCCGGACACAGGCCGACACTTTCAAGAAGGACCTTGCTCAGAAGGAGGAAAGCTGGACTGAGATCAAGGACCGGTATGAGAGTGAGCTTACGGAACTGCAAAAGCGCCGCGAGGAAGTTCTCCACCAGAATTCGTTGCTGCATACCCAACTCGAGAACATTACAAACCAGATCGCAGCCCTCCAGCGCGACCGGGCTAACATTCCTGAGGGAGATGAGGACGGAGAGGCTGGGGCGCCCAACCTCGAAGGCCTCCAGGAGGTGATTAAGTTCCTGCGTCGTGAGAAGGAGATCGTCGATGTGCAATACCATCTGTCAACCCAGGAAAGCAAGCGTCTTCGTCAGCAACTCGACTACACTCAGACCCAGCTTGACGAAGCCCGGCTTAAGCTCGAGCAGCAGCGTCGCGCGGCTGCCGACAGTGAACACAGTGCGCTCAGCCACAACAAGTTGATGGAGACCCTGAACGAACTCAACCTGTTCCGCGAGAGTAGTGTTACGCTGCGTAACCAGGTCAAGCAGGCGGAAACTTCACTTGCGGAGAAGTCTTCTCGCATCGAAGAACTTGTTCAGCAGATTCAACCGCTAGAGACTAGAATCCGGGAGCTAGAGAACACTGTGGAGACGAAGGATGGAGAGCTGAAGTTGCTGCAGGATGACAGGGACCGGTGGCAGCAACGTACGCAGAACATCTTGCAGAAGTACGATCGGGTAGACCCTGCGGAAATGGAAGGTCTGAAGGAGAAACTTGAGACTTTGGAAAAGGAACGTGATGAGGCCGTTGCCGCCCGGGACACTCTACAAACCCAGGCTGCTGCATTCCCAGAACAGTTGAAGCATGCGGAGGATCGTGTGCAAGAACTGCGCACGAAGCTCACGGACCAATTCAAGGCTCGGTCTAAGGAGTTGACTGGCCGTATCAACGCTAAACAAGTGGAGCTGAATACGGTCGTGCAGGAGAAGGAAGTTATTCAAGAAGAACTCAAGACGACTCGGGAGGAGCTGAATGAGTTGAAGACGAGGATGGCCGAGAAACCTGCAGCACCTGCAGCTCCTGCTGTCGAAGGAGCTACGGGTGTTGACTCGACGCCTGCTTCTCAGTTCCCTGCGCCGACAACGCAGCCGCCTGCCGCCTCTGACGACCAACGCGTGAAGGCTCTGGAAGAGAAGGTGCAGCGTCTCGAGGCAGCTCTTGCGGAGAAGGAGACTGCGTTGGCCGCGAAGGAAACAGAACACGAGGCCAAGGTCAAGGAACGCTCTGACAAGCTGAAGGAGATGTTCAACAGCAAACTGGCTGAAGTCCGGGCTGCTCATCGGCAGGAAGTTGAGCGGTTGAAGTCCAGTCAACCAGCCGCTCCTCAGGAACCTGGAACCCCAGCTCCCAAATCCGAGCAGGTGCCAGCAACGCCGGCAACTCCCGCGGCTGCTCCCGCGACACCTTCCAAGGACACTGGACTGCCTGAGCTGACGGACGCGCAAGCCAGGGAGCTTGTTGCCAAGAACGAGACCATTCGTAACATCATTCGGAGCAACATCCGCACCCAGGTGGCTAAGCAAAAGGAAACCGACAAGCAGGAGAGCCAAGCCAACCAGGAGGCCATGAGCACACTGGAGCAGAAGTTTAACGAAGAGAGAGAAGCGTTGAAGAAGGCCCATGAAGAGGGTGTGGAGGAGAAGATCAAGGCTGCCGTCGAGTTGTCGGACAAGAAATCACTGGCGAAGCTAAGCATGCTGGATACCCGATACAGGACAGCCCAGGCCAAGATCGATGTGGTTCAGAAGGCTGCTACGGAGACACCACAGAAGCCCGTTGTCGAAGTGTGGGAGGTCGCAAAGACCACCAGAGCGCCTCCGGCGGCACAGGCCAAGCCCGCCCAGGTGGCATCCCCTGCGCCTGCACCGTCTCCCGCGCCCGCAGCGGCCCAGGCTACCACGGTGGTACCATCGCCGTCGCCTGCTCCGACGGCCACTCCTGCGGCCACTCCCGCAGCTACGCCTGCAGCTGCACCCCAGGCACAGCCTGCGGAGCCTGCAGCAGCTTCCACAGCCGAGCCACCTTCTGCTGAATCTACGCCGCAGACAGGTGCCCCAGCACAGCAGCAACCGCAGCAACAACTTGCGCCTGAACAGGCAGCACAACAACAAGCCGCACCTGCAACGGCTCAGCCAGCTACCAATGCTCCTCCGAACCCGTTTGGTCAGAGCCAGAACAAGCAACCCACCTCGTTGCCCAGCAAGCCCCCAGCCGGCAATGCTCCTGGTCTTATGCGAGCACTGACGTCCGGATTGCCCGTCGCACGAGGCGGCAGAACTGGCGGCCGCGGCGGGTCGCAGGCGAATCCTTTTGGCCAGCAACAGGGCCAGCAGCAACAGGCGCAAGGTCAGGGTCAAGCCCAGCAGCAAGCTCCTAGCCAGCGCGGCTCTGGTCTGCCCCGGGGCCGTGGCGGACGCGGAGGTCACGGACGCGGCGGAAACCAAAATGTACAGGCTACGAATGCCGCTCAGCAGGGACAGGCTAGTCCAGGCCGCTCGCTGAATGCCGGTGCTCGCCAGTTCGTGCCTCAGGGCAACAAGCGTGCTCGTGAGGATGGAGGAGAAGCTGGAGGCGAAGGAGGAACCACTGGAGGAAAGCGCATGAGGGGTGGAGGTCATACCCGGGGGTCATAGGATCTAGGACAGCGTGAATTGCATTTTTCTTTCATTTTTCTCATGTACTTTATGTCTCAATGTGTCTGCTGGGATAGGGTAGATGTTCTATGCAACATCAGATTTCTTTTGTCTTACACGATACGTGCCATATTAAGTAGTAAGATACATCGAGACTTAGCAGGTCAAAAACGTGCACAACATGCTTGCAGTAGTTTTATAATCACATATCAACTGGGTATAGAGCAGAAACAAACCCCCCTCCCCCTATCATCCACCAATCCATCACAATGAAAAAAGCAAGCTCATCTCCTCCTCCCCCCAATCAACCTAACCAACGCATCCCTCTCCCTCTGCAACACCATCAACCTCGCCTCCTCAATCACCCTCCCCTCCAACCCCCCACCACCATTCCCTCCACCATTCCCTCCTCCTCCTGCACCAGCAGGAAAAACTACCTTACTCGGCTCCACCCTCCCCACAGCCCTCCTCCTCCTCCGATTCCCACCCCCCCAAACAACCATCCAATCCGCAACCCCATCCCCATCCGCAACCTCAACGCCCGCACACACCCGACAATGCGATCCCACCACGCTCCTCCTCCCAATCACCGCGCGCGCCTCCACACAACTCGCACTATGGATATGCGCCCCGGGAAGGATCTGTGCCCCTGGGCCGATTGTCACGCTGTTCGAGATGCGGATAGGTAGAATTGACCCTTCGTCTTTGCTGGCGATGCCGCTTGATGTGGATGTAGATGTTGTGGAGGTGGAGGTGGTGGGCGCGGACCCGATAACGCTCTTCTCGCTGATTATACATCCGTTGCCGATTATTACGGGCCCTTCGTAGGAGTAGATTCTTGCCCGTGGGTGGATTATTGTGCTTGCCCCGATGGAGATGGGGTGCGAGCCTTGGATTAGAAGGCTTTCGGAGATGGTGGCGCTGGGGTGCGCGGTTATGGGGGTGCGGTGGTGGTGAGATTGGGAGTGGGAGGGGGAGGGGGGTGCGCGTTGCTGGGTGTGGTGGGAGGGTGGTGGTTTGAGGTGTGTTGTTGATGTTGATTGTGGTGGTGGTTGGGATGGGTGGTGTTGTCGGGGGTCCATTTTCAGGTTGTTGTTGGTGTGAGGTGGTAGAGAAGAGGTAATTGGGGTGGTGAGAAGGTTTGTAGGTAAGTAGGCAGTAGACTGAGTAGTTTCTGTTGTGCTGTACTGTGTTGTGTTGTTGGTCGTGGTTGCGGATGTTATGGTGAAAGTTGATTGAAGTCCGCGGAGGTGAGTTGTGGAGACCGAGACGGGCCCGTGAGTACTCCGTAGAGGAAGTAGCTCCATAATCCCTTATAGATTATTACCACGCTTGATACATATACCAATGTATTTAATGTACACGTCAAAAGTATGTATAAGTATATAATCATCATCTATCCCAACCGGGTATCTATCATCATATCTAACTTAGCAAAACCCAACTAAACGCCAACAACCCATATCTACAACCCATATCTATACCCCAACACATAGTTACAACATCACTCTTCATCCCCATTCTCTACATCCCCCTCCTTGCGCTGCTTAATCCCATTCCTCTTCCGCCACGCCCAAACTCCCCGATCCACCTCCTCCCTCGTCATCCCATCCTTAACCAGACAAAACGTCACCCCCAACTCGGTCTCAACATTCCGGTTCCTCGCCTCATCATCAAAGAACAGCATCTCCTCATACGCCACCCCACTCGCCTGCTGAATGCGCGAGAAATGCTGCGTCTTGTTCGCAGGGAAGATCTGCACGTAGTCGAAGTAATCCAGTGCGCGCACCGACTTAGTTTTCGCCGCGGGGTTATCAGAGAACGTAGGGATGATGTGCAGAGCTTTGAGCATGTCGCGGGCGAGATCGGGGGTGTGAGTGCGCGAGGCTAGGGCTAGCGGAATGTTCTTGCTTTTGCAGGCGTAGACGATAGAGGAGACGGCGGGGTAGAAGGCGAACGATTCGTTCCAGCTGCGGGAGGTGAGGGTGAGTTATATGGTAGTGGTTTTGTTAGGGGATGGGGGGACATACCGATCCGTGCAGCGGGAATTGTTGTCGCGGGGCTTGATTGGGGCGCTGACGTGCGTGTCGACCCAGAATGGCCAGAGGGTGTAGTCGAGATCAAAGGCGATCAGCTTCGGGAGGGGAAGGCCGTCGTTGAAGGTGGCGGGCGATATGGAGGCATCTTCTAAGGGCTGAGTGTTGGTTCTTTTGGTTCGCATCATGGTTGTTTGAGCCTAGGGGGGATTCTGGATCGACACGCTATCTCTCGTTTTAGGGGATTCGTTAAGGAGAAGAGGTGAATGGTAGAGGTGAAGGTGAAGGTGAAGGCGAAGATGGCGAAGATGGATAATGAGGGGTCACGTGCGGGGACGGGGATTCACCAAAAGACTGAGTGAGGCATCTTGGAGTAAACTTCGATCCTACGTGTCGATAGTTCTTACATCTATTACGCAGAAATCAGTTTTCATCATCATTATCATTATTAAGCTATTATTATGGACTCGCCAGACAAGGATCCCGTTGATCAGTGTCATACAAAGACCAGGCTCTGGCCGGCAGACATCCCGAATCTGAGTCGAGCACCTTCATCGACTGATCACTCGTACAGTGGCTCTCCTTTTTGAACTTTTGAAATCATGTCTTCTGCGTTTCACATTGCGATCTGAAAATTCTGTCCTGCAGTTTTCATTTTCTCCTTCATCGACTGTGATTCAGGACACCTTCACCTTGGATCGATCAGCCTTCCACACGCTGTAGTTGAAGCAATCCAACGTCTGGAGGAGCTTCCAAATCTGTTGGTGTTCTTCGGCGCCCTGGAAGGTTTGTGCGTGTTCGAGGGCCTCCCAACTAGCGGCATACTTCAAAATGCAATTCTGCTGCTCATTGTCAAGGAGCCCATTCGCGCCGACGACATAGGCAATCGTTCGTCGCCAAACCTTTAAGGGAACGTCGAACCGCAACACGCGGTCTTCATCAGGGTTCCGGCTCCTTGTACCCGAGCTTGAGGACGCTGCAGAAGGGATTTGCATGACTTCAGTCGCGACAGCCGCATTCATCGATGCAGATGGTTCATATGCCTCCTGAGGCGTGGGAAATTCGGAGACGAACGCTTCATAGCGGGAGTAGGATGGACCGGCGCGTTGTCCGGCCCCTTCAGGGGCAGTGTTCGTAACCGGAGGGCCTATGTGCGCGATATCTTCACCTGGATACGAGTATGCACCGGTATTAGGTTCGACAAACCGCACGCGAGTCCGGTTACGAGGCTCAACAAACTCCACATGGGCGTAGTTTGGCCCATCAGATGAGCTGTCGTCTCCATGAATCGACTCCGCCTCTTTCTCGCCTTCGTCCACGCGTACGTTATTCTCGACATCGGCGCCTCCCACCTTACTATCCGATCTCGGACGATTGTCATCATCCAGCAAGATGGTCCGTGATATGAGCATCATTTTCAGTGCGGTGCTCCAAAGTGTGCTGCTATGCACGCCTTCTGTCTTGATTGCCTCAAGTTGGACACGTTTGCAGAGACGAGCGTATTCGGTTTTCAGATCATTCTCAACCTGATTTGCGGGTTTCTCGTCATGTTCTTGTCCTTTGTTTCTGCCGCGGCTGGCATACTCTGTGCCGTCATTCTCGTCGTTTATACTCTGCCCTTCAGCCTCTGTATCGGACACCACATCACGAAGACTTTCTGCCACCTCCAGTAGCCGCACTGTGTATGGCGGGAGATCATTGGTAGGGCGCCAAATTATGCTCTTGCACAGGGACGCAGTTTGAGGAAGAGTCACAGATTTCCCTGGAGGAAGGAATTTAAATAGGTGCTCCGGCGTGTGTTGAGCTCTGAGCATGCTTTGCAGATGAAGGGCACTGGTGTTGGACAGTCCAATCTCCGATAGGATGAGATGAGGAATGGAACGCAGACCCCGAGTGCAAGTAAACTCGGCCTCTTCGGCCCATTCGATTTGTGTGTGGCCTAGAAAAGGTCATCTGTTAGTTCCAGATACATTCCTAGAAGAGGAAGCCGTGCACCTACTTTTCGGACGGGCGTTTTTACCCTTGTCAGGCGACTTTTTGGGTTCCTTAGGCTCGTTTTCCTTGTCCGACAACTTCATTCTAGCCAAATCATCAATTGAATCACTTTCGGCGTTAGGGTCAGGACCAATCATGTCCGGAGCCTCACTCAAAAGCCAGTTGAGGTCACTTTTGAGGTAGACCCGCGCGAAGTGCTCAACGCCCAGACAACCAAGGGGGTTACCACTCAGATCAAGCTTCTTGAGCATGTAACAATTTTTGAACTTCCCGAGGAAGGCCTCCCACTTTTCAACATCTTCCGCAGTCTCAATGTGAAGCTGGTTCTTGGAGAGATCCAGTTCCCGAAGGTCCCCTTTCGATAAAGCGACTACCTCTGCCAGTTTAGCCAACGACTCCACGGTAAGCTGGTTACCTTGCAAGTGGAGCTCAGCGACCCGTACTATGCGGGAGGTATGAACTTTGCCCTCTCTAACTTCTTTGATTTCAAATTTGATGCACTCGATCAAGACATCGATGAACTGGTTGAGGCCATCATCCGTCAACTCTTTCCCGGTAATGTCGATTTCAACGACAGGGTCTCGTAAAGCCGATTCATGGTTGCCCGGTTTATTGCGATCTTCAGGCGGCAATCGCTTTTTCTATAAGCAGTTGTCAGTCTACTTCGCTAGAGTTCAGACCATCCAACTTCCACCTACCAAGCTAGTTAAGACGGCCTGGCCCGCTTTGATGCCTCTAATCTTTCGCTATGAAGCAACTCATCGTCAGCCACTGTTCTCTAGAGTTATCATATGTTGATACTCAATGAAAGAACTCACGCCAAGGTAGTTGAGCTTCCCCATATTGAGGAATGACCACGAAGGTACGGTGTGCAACTTCTCTGATTCCAAGTTAGCATGCCTGCTTCAAGAGTACTAACGAAGCCCAAGATAACAGAAGTGATAAAATCGATGAAAGATGGGACGGGATATATTGTGCCCAACTATTCGCTTAGCGATAGTCAAGTCATGATGCAGCGAGGCGTGCGGGCGCGTCACCTGTGTCAAAGTACACACAACCCCGAAGACAAAAAGACAGGATTCCGTGAAAAAGGAATGATATTGAATCACATACCTGACTATTGATGTGCTTCGAAGTTAATTTCGGTATGTTGTGATAGATGAATCGTCTATCGACGCGAAGTTGGGAAGCAGAAGATTGTTTGTTAGTGGAGAAGAAGAGAGAAATCTAGATCAGTGAAGAGAAAAGTGTCAACAGCCAGCCCTATATCGAAATGCATACAAATCAGCACTAGCGTGAAACACTACCTGTGTGTTTCTGCACTGTTCCATGAACTCGCTAATGCAGATTAGGAAGAGTCTGGAAAAGAGAGTGTTGGAAGTGAAGGTGGGTGATGTGAGACATGAAAGTCACGGACAAAGCTAGAAGGTCTTATAGAGAGTAGGCCTGGGGGGTGCGTGACTTTCAACGCGTTTCCCTTTTGGGCCTTTGAGGGCTTTCACTCTTTTTCTCATTCACTTTCACATTGCGATGGCAACTTATGCTTTGGATCACAGAAGAGCAAGTGTGTGTATTCTTTTTCTACTCCTTGAGCAGTATCTGAAGGGCTTATTACGGTGTTTACCTCGTGTGCGAGACTCTTAAGTGGTTCACTATACTAGTTTTCACTTCTGTATGGCATTCTCCGCATAATCTGACAACATTCGGTTACCTACTGTGATACTAGATGTACTTGTGGAGGAAGGAATGGGGATGGATGCTTCCATATCCGCAATACATGCTGAATTTCACAAATTATGTCTAGCTATCAAGCTTTAGAACAAATTGATAATATCCTTGAACTCATGCAGTAAAGCAGGGTCAACATCCTCCCAGCCTGCGGGAACCTCAGCTGCTACATCCGTAGTACCACCGGGCTGGAAAGAGCTTGGATAAGTAGCTACGATGTCTTTGTTCATCTTGCACCTCTTTCTATTGGTGTCAACGGTCGTAGTCATGAGAACATTCCGTTTCTTCCCATGAGAACCCGCAGGAGTAGATCCATGATAGTCAGGTCTATCATCCTGATTGTTCAGCATCATTTCTTTGACCTCTGTGGGGGCTGAGTTGATTATATCAGCCTTATCAGGTCCTTGTGCTGGTTGAATGTTCCTTTCTTGACCACCCTCGGGTGTCGAAACCATATCTGTCACTGGTGGTAACTGGAAGTTGTGCCATCCATCATCATCACTCCAGTCTTCTGTATTCAAGTCTCTCTTCGCGTTGTCTTCGATAGTGGGGGCTTCGGGATCCTGTTCTTTCGACGATGTTGCTACTATGGGCTTTCCGAGCAGCAGGGCGGATGGTGAAGGGAAGTCACTGAAGCTGTCGTTTCCGTAATCGCTTGAGGATTCAAGTATGTTCTCTGAAACTGGACAGCCAGAGTCATTTCCTGGCTTATTGTTTCTGTTGGTATCCGTGTTTACTGAGGAGGGTTTGTGTGTTGAGACCGGGGTTTCTATTAAGTGTCTCTGTGCTTCGGAATCAGAAGGGTTACTCGCTTGGGTGGTAGTGTCCTTCTTGGCTATTGTTGCTGGAAGGGTTGTCTGATTGAGCCCCGTTATCTTCTTACCCTTGTCCTTATCATCGTCACCTGGTCGCTTCTTGTTTGCTTTGGGTGGCTTCTCGAGTCCTTCTCGACAGCAGAGATGCTTACATCTGCTTGCAATTAGTTGTTTTCCTTTGGACATGGGATCATTGTAATACGTTGTCTTATCTTTGCACCGATGGTTGCAGGCCCATCGACCGTTTTCGAGTCTGACAGCCTCTACTGTTTTAACTATCTGATTGTTGCTTTGATTCGGGCCCTTACTCGTATTTCTTGGAAGCTGTGCTTTGTCTTCTGGCGATTGTGGCAACTTATCGACACACGACCAGTTCTCGGCTTGGTCTGCAGATGATTCGGGTCAATCCGTTGAATGCCCATCTTCACTAGGAGCAATCCAGCTTACCATTTTCTAGGAAATCCCCGAACAAAAGATCGTCACTGTCCCAAATGTTGATATTTCGGGCGACGGATTTGGTCTGGGAGGTGTCGTTACTGCGTCGGCGAGAGATGTTAGGTTTGGGCCTTTCCGACACTACATCGGACGGAGGATCTAGCTGAGACGGAAACAAGCTTGCAGGGAGATCAGGTTTCAACTGTGCGGATCGCATAGTCCCAGCTAAGATCGTCAGCAGTCATGTTACATGACGGTCAGGGGCATTCCTGGGTACCTATATCGTCACACATTGCATAGCACGTCACCGATT